TCTCTGAAGCTTGCATCTCCAGTGCCACCCTCCTAACTTTCCTCCTGTTTTACCAACTGCTCCCATCCAGCTTTCTTTGCTGGTTCCTTCTCCCAGACATCTGTGATGTTGTAAGGCTCAGTCCTCCAAAGGCTCTCTTCTCTCTTTAGGCTTGTTCACGAGGCGATCTCACCCTGTCTCATGGTTTTAAATCTTACTGATAAGAACTGGCAATGGGTAGGTACAGATATAGATGGAGATGCTATGGATGGTACAGACACAGGTGTAATGTATCTTTGGCCCTGGACAATCTCCTGAACTCCACACACAGCTCCCTACTGGACATTTCCACTAAATATCTCATATACATTTCAGATTTCACATGACAAAACCAAGCTTGTGCTCCTCTCATCAAACCTGCCCCTCCCCGATCTACCTGACCTTGATTATCAGCAGCTTCACTTGTCCAGATGCGCAAATAAAAATTTTTGCCTTTAGCCTAGATTCTTCTCTCACACATCTGATCTTCTCCATCAGTAAATTCTGTCACTGGTTCTAACAAACTCTCTCCACCACCTCCACTGCTACTGCTTTGTCTTAGCCACTCTTGGTTCTCATCTAGGTCATCTCCAATAGGATACCGCTCCCGACTGATTTCCCTGCTTCTATGCTTACCTTATTTAATGCATTACCAAAACAGTAGCCAGAAACAACTTTCTTTTACATAAATAAGATCTTATCACCCCACTACTGGAAGCCCTGCAGTGATTTTCCTTCTGAATCAGAATAAAAGAAAATATCCTTCTAAAGGACTGTGAGGATCTTTATGATGTGACCGCTATTAGTTCTGTAATTTACCCTCTATTCTTTCTGTCACTATCTTTACCCTGCCCTGGCCTGAGGCTGACCTGCCCAGAATCAGAGGAGAGACTGTTGGGAATGTTTTCGCATCTGATGTGAGGATAAGACCGGGGATAATTGCACTTTTCTCAGGGGAGACACCTTACACGTCCTCAGTGTAAGGAAGCTACTGGGTTCCTGGTCAACCTGATGCCCACACCGATTGTTGGAAGATGGCATTACTAGGAACAATGACTAGTTCCCAGGAGTATCTGCGATGTGAGGTTATAAATGGGCTTTTGCTTCATCTGTGCAAATGGAAAAGGATTTTCTCAGGGATATAACCTTTTCAGTTCTGTCTCCTTGTATCATGTGGGTGCCCAAGACATAGGGGATCTGAGTTTTGTTGAGGGAGGAATATACATCTGTAAATGGTGTGTTGCTCATTTAACTGCAGTCAGCCATAGGCCTTTGCAATGATAGTAGTAGACCATGCAGCTGGGTGATTGCCTGCTGGTAAAAGAGCAATGGTTGTCTGCCCTGGCTCCAGAAGGCCATGGGAGCTGTTCCTACAATGTGCCATGCCCTCGGGCAACATCACGAGCTCTCACAATGTTGGCCGACTCTGTCCTCTGATGCACAGAGTGAGGCAGGATAGCTTGGCTGGGTCTTTGTTTACCTCTGTATATAGGGGACTTTAAAGTGGGCTTATGTTGACAGATGCTGGTCATCTCTGCCCCAGACCTTCTGCCCATCTTTGAGCTACCTGTCCCTGGGGTGGGCAGTTCTCAGAATGTGGACAGCTGCCCGCTCCGCTGAGCATGTCTCCCTGCTTCTCAACCTAAGGCCTTTAGCATCCTGGAGCTTGCTTGGCTGTCACACAAACAAACTTGACGGTGTAAGGGACTGAAGGCGCCTAGGGAAAACTGGCAGAGAACAGAAGTCAGTGCACAAATGCCCCAGATTCCTGCTTCCAGTTGGGGTAATTCTTTGGTGCATTTCACACAGGTTCTCAGAAGGGACTCAGTAGAATTGAGCCCAGTTGCTCTGAAGGATTCACTCCCTAGGTTATGGCTTTGCATGGCTGAGTATGCTAGAGGCTGCATGCTATTGCTAGCTGTAGTTTACTACACCCTTGTTATTGAGTAGTTCCTTTAGAAATTACTCATCAATTAAATGTGTTCTTGCCTCGAACAAATAATTGGATGAGGCAAGCCAACAATGGTTCTATAAGTTTATTTGAAAAATGAGGGATGGCTGGGCACAGTGGTACAGCCTGTGATCCCAGCACCCAGAAGGTTGAAGCAGGAGGATTTCTGAGAGTTCAAGGCCAGCTTGAACTATATATATTGCAAGACCGTGTCTCAAAACTGAAACCAAAACCAAAACAAACAACAACAACAACAAAAACCAACAGTGAAGGGAAATTGACTTGTGGGTGGGAACCCATGGAAAGTTTTATATGTGAAGTCCTGGAAATTATTTGGCATTGTCAGAAGGTCTTGTAATTAAAAGGTCTTGCTTATTTCCTAATCAGCTTTGCCACACCCTACCTCCTATTTCAACCTCTCAAGTTTATTCACATAAACCTAAACCAAACTTAGTAAAGACATCTAAGCTTTGTAAGGCATCTGTTTACGGACATCTCCTGAACATTTCCAGTGTGACTTATTTTCTTGCTTGTTCTCTGATTGTTGCAATCACCCACTGTACAGTTACTGGAGAAACATTTGGGGAAGAAGCTGAGTAAGCAGACTTACACTTCATTAAAGTGACCATAGACATATCTGTCCCCCATCTAGTTAACAAGTACCCTTACTCAAAATAAAAGGTCCCAATGAACTAGTCATTAAGAATCAAGGCTCTGGGATAAGTCTCCTCCTGGCATTTGAATTTTGGTTCTTCCACTACTCTCTGTGTGGCTTTGGGCTGAGTTGTTTCATCTCTCGTCCCAAACATTCTCGGACCCTTCCAAGCTCAATGCTGTTTAGACATAAGCAGAATAGGTAATATCTATATATGATAAACATTTTACTAAGTCTTTCCTAAATTATGTCAGTGAATCATCACAATCAACTTTCTAAGTTTGCAGCTATTCTCAGCCTCATTTTGTAGACAGCAACCCTGAGGCTTAGAGCAATTTGTTCTTGTGCCCAGAGTCACATTCAGTATTTAGGATACTGAAAGGTTTAAATAGTGAAGCATCACAGTTGGATTTCTTTCTTTTAAAGATGTTTGTGTCACAGCACTGTAGGAATAGATTGTAATGCAAGAGACCAGAGTCAGAGAGACCAGGAAGGAGCAGTTATGGCAAAAAGAGGACCTCGGAGAAAGCAACAAGGTAGAAACCATGGGCTGTGTGCCATATAAATGGAGGGGCCAAGGCTGAAGCATCTAATTTACAGGCATGGATGGGGCTGGAGGAAGGGAACCAGGTGGTATAAGGTAGACCCAAGGGTAGTAGGTGGACTCTCGGGATAAGGGCATTTGTTACTGAGAAGGAGAGAGAATGTGACTCTGCCAGCAAGAGGAGATGAGACCAGGGGCTGGGAGAATCTTGTCAGTCTCTGGATAGGAGGGGAGTTCTTTGGTCCTCTGAAGGTAAAATTCCAAAAGTGTCTCCTGCAAATGGCAGTGGGGATGGGATACAGAGGTCAGAAGGGAGGATGCAACTTCCAACCATGACCACTGTAAGAGATTCCCCACTGATGTGTGATTACCTTAAGGATAGAAACTTCCAGAAGCTGCAGTGCACCCTCAAGGCCTTGTCTTCCTGGACTGGTACCCTTCTCCCTATCCTAATTTGAAGCACTCTAGCCTCTTTACAGTCACTATTTCCCTAGGGGTACACACACGATTGAACTGTTTGCCACAAGCTGTAGATACCATGACAACAAGAATGCAAGAAGGCAATTTTTCCTTCAAACAAAACTGACCTGGTTTCATGCCTCTAGGACTTCTGACCTCCTTGTCCCAGTGTTTGGCAGGCCTCTCTCCCCTGTTCCCTTCTCCTTTGTAGCCCTAAATACTCAGTTCAGTCTTCACTTTCTGTAGAAGTCTCCTTTGATACTTTTAATATGATACCGCTAAAACCAGTCAGTGCCTCTTTGTATTATCTCGGACTCTTGATTATATCCATCCTTCAGCACAAGTCTTACAGAATTGAAAAATCTGAGGGTCAATATATTTTCACCATTAAATTGTGAAACACCATACCTACAATACTTGCACATGGTGGACATCTAACTAATATTTTCTAAATAAAATGTTTCTTTGGCAGAACTGAATTGAGTTTTAGAAGAGGGAGAAAAACAGATTACAACCAACATCCAAACAATGAGGAGATCAAACTAGATTGCCACTATTCCAGATCATACTGATGAAATACTCAAGATATGTTCTTGGTTGGTGCCCTCGAAGTGCACACTTCTAATAGGGAGATAACTCCATCTAATCCTGTGCAATTAAATTAATGCTACTTGTATACTTGTAACTTTAGTGATGCAGAGGAGGAATTTATGGTTTTATTGATTTTAGTTCTTGGGCAACTATGCTTTATTAGATCTTGTCATCATTCTATATTAACAAGAAATCAGTAGGATCAATCAGTAGGATCAATCATAATATCCCTGTGGTGAGAAAAGTGGTATGTTTAACCCATACAAAGCATTCATGAAGACTACATTTCCCAGGGCCCCTTGCAAGCTTTTGATATCACGTGACTGAGTTTTCCAATGACAATATGAATATAAGCAATGAGTGACTGAATCCAAGGCTGTTAGAAACTGGTGTAGCTTCTTTTTTGTACTGGAGACTGAACTCATGACCTTCCATTTTTGAGGTAGGCACAAAGCTAGTGAGGTAAGTCCCTGGCCCTGGTAAAGCTTTTCTGTCTTCTCCTTCCTGATCTGGCTAAAGTGGAAGACCCCAGCATGCCAGAGTCCACGACAGAAGTAGCCCAAATTCAAACATCGTCTTTGGTACTTAGTTAATCTTCACTGTACTGTGGTTTGAGCAAGAAAGGTATCTTATCTGTTGTGTTAAGCCACTGATATTTGTAAGTTTATCTGTTGCAGCAGCCAGTATTATTTATCCTAGAGAAAATAATTTCATAAAGCTGTTTTGAAGCAAATAACATTACTCCATATAATCATTGAAATGTCTATTTATTAATAAGTGGTGCAGTATTTTATTTTAAGATAGAACATAAAAAATCAGGTAAGAATTGTTTGCATAATATATATGGAAATCAACCTATTAAAGTTGTTCAAATATTGGACAGAGCCAGAATATAAATTATACATACAGTTTAAAAATTACAGGAAATCATATTATAAAGAGCACTAAAGGCCACTTGTGGAATAGTTGTGTTCCTGTGTAAGCCAGAATGTGAAGAAAGCCTACTCTTAGCATGGAGACAAATCCAGGGACCAAGGCACCAGAATTCTATGCCATAAAAAGGGGTTAAAGAAAATACAACCCAAAATCAAATACAATGGGCTCACATCACAGAAAACCTTAATTTGTTCTTCAATGATTGGTATTTTCCATCATTGCAACATTAGAAAAAGGGGAAAAGATAGTCCTATCCCGTCTGAAGCAAGATGGAGATTATTTTTCTCTTTAAAATGGGGAAGGACTGGCAAATGCCTCTCTAAGGTGATTTTCCAAGATATGGCCAAGCCTACCTTACCTCTCCATCAGCAAAATGTCTGCTGCTGGACAGAAGAGTGGTCCCACATCTTGGACTTGCCCAGCACTTGGAATCTTAACCCTCAGAGGAACATGGGAAGGCAGAGCTGACCTCTGTCCCTTGGAAGTGTATTCAGAGGAGTAGGGAAGCACCCCATTACCAAATATGTTTGGCTTCCATTGATCTTTTAATACTGAGAAAGAGAGAAACTATTGTTCTAAGCCTTTGGCCTTCCAGAGAACACTTATAAAGACTAAACTGTTTCTGTAGGATTTCAAAGCCCTGAAATGAATGTTCAGTGTAGCGACAAAAGACCAGAGTCAGCAGAGACTCGGAGACATTTGAACTAGTTTGGTTAAAAACAATGACAGAAAATCCTTGGGGACAAAGAACAAAGGGCATTTGTAGGATTACTCGCAGTCACTAAACTCCAAGAGCTAATGGATTCCAACATGAACCAGGTGAATAATTTATGTGGCATCCTTTTCTGCCACTGACAGCTAGATTGTGAAACCACTCACTCAAGAGCCCAGTGCAATAGCCAGCACTGGGCTGTTGCTCTTCTCTCCAGAAATTTGGAGGTCTATGATCACTTTACTTTAAAGCTAGCTGGACAGAGGAAGGCCAGGCATTGTGAGAAAACACAGGGCATGATTTCAGAATATATCTATTGATCTGGGAGGCTTGGGACACAGAATAAGCTTTGGCTGGGAAGACTTTGGTTAAAACCCTAGCTCTTCCTCTTGTAATATGTGACCTTTGGTAACATCTTTTCCCTTTTAGCTCTGAGATGCAGACAATAACATTTCCTTCATGGGTTTGCAATGAAGATGGGACAGTCAAGTGAAAGCAGTATAATGTCATACGTCACTTGTAAAGAGAGCTTAGGATAAGTTTCTCTCCCCTTCCCTGACCCCCCACCTTGTAGACAGAGGAAGAGAATGGAACATTGAAATAAAACAGGCTGTTAGTTTTCATAACTCTCAGGTTTCAAATTGCATCCCATTTGACAAACATTAGAGGAATTACAAATATATTCCTAAGCACCAGCTAGGCTCTTGACCGATTAATTATAAACCATTCTCAGACTATTTCATTATCGATTCCATTATTTTCCCTTGAAATTTAGTTTAATCCCAGAACAGTGCTATTTGGAGGAAGAAGACATATATTGAGTGACAGTTTCTAAAATTACTGGGTCAACTATTGCCATCCAAGACCTTGACTGTCTTTCTTTTTGACTCTGGGCTTTTGGTTGAGACTGACCCAGGAGAGTTAAATACCCTACCACTAGTTTAACAAGGGCCACTAGGGAGTCCTGCCAAATTCTGGCAAATTTATCCTCAGCAAAACAAAAGTGGAAACCACCAACAGAGAGCCTCATTTGAGCCAAAGAGGCCTGTTGCTTCTCGGACTAATATTTGAGTCACAGAAATATCAGACCTCTGATACTGAATCTTGTTTCCTTCTCTATAGCTTTTGGAAAAGGCTCTAGAGTACTTGGGGCTTCTCTGGAACAAAGTGAGCAACACCAGGTAGTATTCAGGGGAGATCCAGGGATCCCAGTGCAAAGGGACATTTTTGGTAGGACCAGCAAGTTGGGTCCTAATATAATACAGCTTGCCCCAATATAATATCCCATTTTCTTAAATAAAACCCATGCGGCAGCTCTGCTCAGCTCGTCTAGAGATGAGACTACAACCTGAGATCTAACTCTGGAGCTGAGTGAATCCAAGTGATGGAGCATAGAAGTGAATCATTCCAAGCTTGGCAGGACAAGGGAGGGCTAAAATAGAAGTGACCAGAGGAGCGCAGAGTAGGGGTATCCATGATCAAGGGCTTGTCTTCTGAATTCTTTTCTCAGCTGCATCCAGCATCAGCAGGGTTTCCTTGGGCTTTCTGAAAGCCGCTATAGTTTGGAAGAAGGAACATTATCATGTTTCAAGACACAGAAGCATCATCCAAATCCTAGAGAAGGGAAGACTCTTCAAAACGTGTTTGGTGTTTGGTTTAGCAGTTTCTTGAGTGGTTCTGAAAGGTTTTTTTTTGTTTTGTTTTTTTCATTTTCTGAGCTCAAAAGTAGCACTTATGTTGCACATTTGGACCAAGAGTTGAGAAATCTGGGCTCAAGATTTAATCTGCTACTCGGTTGCTTTATTTCATCACCAAGAGACCAACTGTGATTCCCTGCACTCAGAAACTCTGCTGTCTGATTTAAAAAGAGGGCTGGCTCTTCGGGACAATCAAGGTGTCCTTTTCTTCTGAACATCTCAGGTTCATGAAATTATGTCTTCTTCCATCAATAATAATAAGCCACAACAGTAGTCACAATTTTTCTACAGGGATGCGTGAGGCTGTTAGAGGGTGGACGTATACCAGCCTTGAGAGGATATGAGCTGGGTTAAACTCTTTCTTCTGTAAGTTCTCCTACTCGCTGTGAGGGTGTTGTCTGATAGCCATCCTGCCAGAGTTGACTTGCCTTGTGGGAAAAACAAAATTTTCATGTTTCACCATTCCTTTTGGGCTTTACCTCCTACAAATCATCCTTTGAGAAAATAGTGCAACATATGGCTATGTCCCATGGGGCTTCCACAGGCCCGCCACGGGATCCAACCTTCCTGTTCTCTCTTCATTGCAACGGTCCTTCTCTTCTGTACTTTGATGGAAAGAGTAATCATTTTTAGTTGTGGAAGTGCTTGATTTCATCATGTAATAATTGGGATCATATCTCAATCATCCTTTTTTTCTGAAAAATATTTTCTGGTGTAAGTCTAGAGTTAAGTAATATCAGCAACTGACAATGGAATCCACACATACTATAAAGCAGGAACATGAAAATTAGTCCCGAGTATGGTTCAGTCACTATAGTAGTGGCTTTATATCTAGATAGTCTCATCTGAACTTCAAAACAGGCCAGAAGAGTCACATGCTTTTATATGTCTCCAAGTACAATTTTTGTCTCTAAGTCATCTCTAAATCCTATCTCTTTGACACTGCCATACTGGCTTTCAAAAATCACAAGAGATATGCAGATAATCAGGCCCTAACATGGTCAACTGGAGCATCTGTGAAGTGCTACCTGCTACTTTTTTGAAGAGGCATATAGTTTAGGTTTGCAAGGTGCAATGTCAGTAACCCCAGCACAGTTGAGTAGTTTGGATGCTAAAAGAGGATTTAGCTTTTTAGAGAGTTCATCCTGAAATGAGCAAGCTTTCAAGGACAAGTGAATGCAAATTCCTAATGATGCCTTAAGGCTTGGGAAATAAAGAAAATCTTTATAGTCCTAGGTGCCTTAGACATCAGGAAAGATGAAGGGCAATTCTGTGGCATCTTTCAGATGGCAAAGGTTTGAAGAGTTCAAGGTGTGTTTGGCAGCACTGTTGGGAGTGTAGTTGACTTCTAAGACCATGACAAATTTCTTCTCTTTCCCCCAAAGAATTGGATCTACAGGTCCTCACAGGCAGAGTGGCCTTTTTCTCTTTAAATAGATGCTGTGACATGACTTTTACCACAGCTTCTCTTGGTCAGCACAATGCAGTAGAACTCTCTTGGTGTCCATCTTGGCAGGAATTTAGATAGGAGAAATCTGTTTTGCCTAAGGACCTTTTTCACATACTGTCTTGCACCAAGAAGTCCAAAACTTTAAAGTTCAAGACATTGAAACCAAACTCAAAGTCCTCATTCAACCAATTCAGCCTTCCCTGGGGTGATGGGATCCTTAACATTTTGATGAACATTTTCGTTCTCACTTTCTTCAGTGTTGAACCTTCAACTGCTTCCAAGCTGAGAAACATTCCTGTTGGTAGAGGTGGCCACCGGGTGAAATAAGACATTTCTCATCCTTGCTGACATAGGTTGAAGGGGCCTACGACATTTATGGGGCTTCTAACACCAGATTTTTTATGGCAGAAACTGAATTTTCTAATCTCTGGATTTCTGCTTTATGGTTTCTTGTAAATGGTGGTGCTTAATAAATCTTGTCAAATGACAAACATGAATTTTTCTTTATTACAATCTCACTAGAGTATCATGAAATTATGAAATGGTTTTGGCAAATTTTGAGTAGATCATTATATTAGTTTTGTTCTACAAGTAATTACTTCTTTACAGTGTCTGGAATTGCCTGAAGATAGGAAAAAGATGCATAATTGTTGATTAATTAGTTTGTTTTGACCTTTATTCTTTGGAGTTTTGTATGTATGTTTTCATGAAACTAGAAGTTTGTAGTATCAGTGTCATGACTAATAAGTCTGAATTCTAAGTTCTAAGAACCAATATAGTACTTTCTTAATTTGGTGTATATGCTGATGTTGAACTTATGGTGATCCTATTGCCTCAGCCTCCCAAGTGCTGGATTATAGGAGTGTACCACCACTGCTAGCAACTTCAAAAATTCTTTCCTAAACTTTTGATGTTTGATTATGTGCTATGATTTGATGGTTAAAACTCACAGTTGATTTCAAATAGTTTTTTCTCAGCCCACAAGATTACCACTTGCCTAACATTAATAAGTTGATATATCTCGTTCATTTTTATCTTGTTAAAATATGACTTCTTAATTTGGGAGTGGAGCTAGGGAATCAAACTCAAGGGCCTTGCAAGAGCTCTACCACTGAGGTCCAATTTACTTGATATATTAATTTTTGCAGTGCTGAGGATAGAATCCAGGACCTTATATGTTCTAGACAATGGCTCTACCACTGGGTTACATCCCTGCCCCACCTCTTAAATTTGTAATGGTATATAACACTCAGAAACCAGATATATACCACTATAACAGGGTCACAGTTTACCTGAGAAAATCATTCCTAGTTATTATGATATGATTAATTTGTCAGTATTTCCATGGGTTTTGGCCCAAACTACAGTGATATTTTGGACAACTGTGGAACTACCAGTGTATATTGGGGCATGCTGTTAGATTCTGTTCTGTTGGATTCATTCATCATGTGGTTTCTTTATCTGAGAAGAGAAATTCTGTGAAGCACACACTGTTTATTCCCGTTGCTCATGTTGAATCCCGAACCCAAGCTCATGCTTCTTCAATGCCAGTCATATTGGTAAGCAGGCAACCTGAGTATGATTGGTTTATTTTTCTAGAATTTAGTTTTTGATAAAAAAATAAATGTCAAAGCAGAATTATTCTAAAGGATAATTATTGTCTTCTGTTTTCCTAGATGGGAAAAACCAGTTCTTAATGTTCTGATCATTCATTCATGAGCTAAGTATCTTGTCGGTGTCCACACTGATGAGTAGAACTCATTAGATGCTGGAAAATCAACACAAACCCAATTCCTGCTATAACCTTGTAATCATCAGGGAAACTGTATTTCCTGCCTATCATTTGAAAAGTATTACAAGCTACCATTTTTGGCAGGTTATTAAAAGAACTTTAAGTAGTGTATCTAATTTTAGGTCTATGGTAAACATTTTCAGCATGGGAATAAAAAGATCTCACTCTTGAGCAAGAACCTCAATGAAGTCGTGAAATACGGATCTATTTGTAAAACACTGCTCTTGAATTCCACAAGAATATTAGTACATTAGAAAGAATAATTGGTATATACGTGCAGGGTTTGATTTGTGTTCTCTTTTTGTTTCTGTTCCCAATAACTTGGGAAGATGTAAGATAGATAGATAGCACAGTGGTTTCTGGATAAAGAGCCCAGGAAGATCAGGGCCAAGACCCAACCCCCTAGGAAAAGATATAGGACAGTTTCTTAGGTTACAGCCCCAGTGGCAGTAGTGAAGCCATATTGATGGGAGTGGGGGATGAGGACCAAAAGGCCCATGCCCTTTGCCTTTGCAATTGCTGAAAAGTCATGAGGAAAACTGTAGGGTAGGGGCTTCTTGTCCAATGTGTAGGATGACTCTTGCATACTTCCTGACTTGGACTTACCAGTCAATACCCATGGGATGCTGCATGTCAAGCTCCTTTCTATCATTTACAACACCAGCCCTTGTTCAGAGATTTCAGGCTTTGGTTTAAGTTTCTAAAGTCAGGGGCCAACCCTTCATGAGTATGGTATTCTTAGTCTTTTGTGCAAGATTCACTGGTGTGTGAATTAAAAGGAACCAATGTGTGAAGACTGTCTCCAACACAGGGCAGGACTCTGATGAATGCATCGACTAGATGTTTGCCATCTAGCTTTGCCATCTTGACAAAACTGTGAGGGAGAATTTTGATGGCAGTGGCATGTAGATATTTGCTTAGACCATTTTGATCTGTTTGACGGTCACCATGGCAACCCACCACCACTACAGTGTAGGTTCACGGAGTATGAGAGTAATGTCATTTACTGACTGCATCCCAAGACTACCAGAAGTCTTTCCCATCAGAGTTTTCAGAAAGTAGCAATATCTCCTAAGAGGCCACAGCAAGGCTTGTGCTTAACACAAACACTTCTACAGCCCAGAGCATGCCACATGTCTGCTCACACTCCAGAAAAATCTCACAATTATATGTAGTGTAGGTGCTTCCATTGGCAAAATCTGGTGGAGTAAGAGTGGATGGTTTTGGAAAGTTTGCCTATTTGCATGTTGACAGATATATCTTGGGTGTATTACTATTTGTTCTGGGTCCCAAATGTAATGCAGCAAGAAAGCATGTTTCACATTAACAGAACACGTTCTCCTGCTAGATCGACTGTGGGAATTTCTTCCCACACAACACAGGGTGCCAGTATCTTGCCTTCATTTCTGGGTCCCAGTATGCAAACAGCAGAGTGGTGTGAGGAAAGGAGAGCAGGGCAGAGAGGAAGGCAGCAGGCAGGAGCTTTGAGTCCTGGCTCTCCACGGCACCATGGAGTAGACTCAGGTAAGTCTCTATACCTGAGCCTAAGATTTCTCATCATTAAGAACAAAAACTTGGAAAAGATAATTTCTGCATGCCCTCTTGATTCTAAGTTTTGCTTTGCATGGATACACAGGGAGCAACATGAGTTGGAACCTCATTTCTTTTTAATAGTTGGGACCTTGTTTTGAAGACACTGAACTTGGGTCCTGCCCAGAGGGCCACCCTGCTGCTAGTAAACTTCACTGTCTTTGGTTACATAAATTGGTAACTATTTTAATTTTTGTGTTTGTGTCTGTGGCATGTGTGTGTGTGTGTGTGTGTGTGTGTGTGTGTGTGTGGTGTCTCCCCACCGGTTTATAATACATGTGAAATGCCGTAACAGGGATTATCAATACCCTTACAGATAGGGAAACTGAGACATATACGGGACAGTGGCAGAGCATGTGAAGTCCCTTTGAGAATTTTTAAATGTTTTTTTTTTCTTCTGGCTCTTCGTTAAGAAAATAAGTTTCAACTTCTTGATTTTGGAGACTTAAGAGCTATCTTGTGCCTTCCCTTGTGTTCAATCGGTCAGCAGCCTCATTGGTATGCAGTGTGTTCTTGTTGAGAAAGTTACTTGCTTTAGTAAAGTTAATTCCTGGAATATTTTACATGGTGTGTGTGTGGGGGGGTAATAACTTAAACTATATTCTCTGCTTACCAAACCAAAACCCCATAACCAGTCAACCAAAGAAACAAACAGCGCGGCTCGTCCGTAATCTCTCCCTGTACTGGTCCTGTACTGGTCCAGTCACGACTGAAAGTAAGAACAGCAGATAGATGTGTATCCTAGAGGAGACTAGCGGTACCACTTAGACAGTGTTGCGTCATGCAAACCATGCTGAGAAGGAAGCGGCTGTGTTTCGGTGACCGGGGAGGAAGGACGCGGGAGAACCCGCTCTGGCCGGGCCCTGCGCACGCGCATGCACTCGATGCAGCTACTGGTGTCCCCGCTGGACGCACAGGCTGAGTCAGGGGGCTGTACAAAGTCTGTGTACATCGCAAGGAGCCAGCCAGTGACCCCCGCTAGGTGGGCTTGTTGGAAGGGGTCCATATGGAATCCGAAATCCCGTCCCCCGTGGACGACAGGGGCAGGGACCCGCTGGGCGTGAAGGGGTCGGTGTCCGTGTCCGTCTCACCCTCTGCAAGGTAGCGCTTCTCTCGCATCCAGCTGGACCCTCCGCCGGGGCCGAACGTGTAATCATCCCTGTCCTGGGAGATGCTGAAGCCGCTCGGGGACCGCTCCAGCTCCTCGTGGTTGACCGACATCAGGGACAGGGGAGTGTCACTGTCCCGAGTGAGGCTGCACCTCTGCCTCGGCGAGATGCGTTCAGAGCAGGGGCCGCGTGGCTCAGCCTGGGAGGGGAAGCTCCCTCGGGAGTCTAGCAGGGTCAGGATAGGCAGAACCGTGGGCCTTTCTGCATATGAGCTGGCCGAGGAAGGAAGGGCAGCCTGGGCCTTGGCAGAAGCGGTTCCCCCTCTGGGTAGGTGCACAGGGTCGTGCGCAAAGAATCCATAGGGGCCAACCTTGTCGATGGGCAGCTGGTGGAAGCTGTAGGGAGGCTCGGGGGCGCCCGCCTCGGAATAGTTGCAGATGATGGTTTTCAAGTCTGAATACCTGCTGTCCTCCTTCTTCTCCCCGGCAGCTGGCGAGCAAGTCCCCTTGGCCGGGCCGTACTCTGAGACCCGGACCTGCAACCTCTCCATGTGCTGCACGTGCATCTCCACCAGGAAGTCCAGCTTCTTCCCCATGTCGTGCACCTGGAACAGATAAGGGCCTGGGAGTCACTGCCCCCTCGTGGGGTGTGGGGTGCTGCTACTGGTGAGGAGGAAATCCTGTATTTACTTTTCAGAACGGAGGAAGCCCCGCGGGTCTTAATGACAATACTAACAGCGACTAATTATTTTTCACCTCCTACTAGCAAGCCCTGCATACACAAGGGTTGATAAAAACTACAGGGAATATTTTCATTTAAAAAAAAAACAATTTGTTACGGTAAACGATTCCGTGCCATGAATCCTCCTCAAAACACTCTCTCACTTTGAACACGCTTATCTCGTCTTTCTTGCCATTTTCTGAAGCAGTTCTGGAAAGTCTCTTTCCCGAGTGTCTTTAGTTGTGCCGGTGTGGCTGCCTTGACGATCTGCATCGGTTCAAACCATGTATCTTTCATGATCATTTTGGCTTTGGGGTGGAGCCAGACGGTTGCATGGTGCAGGATGCAGTGAACAAGGTGAATGAGGACAAACGGTCATGTTCTTATGAGCCCGCCTTTCCCTCTGAGGGCCCACAGCAGCAGCAGTCACTGTTATTATTTTTTTCATAAAGTACACCAAAGAGGGCCTCAAGAATTGCTTCAGAAAGTGGCAAAATGACGGAATAAGTGTCAGAACCAGTGTGTGTGTGTGTGTATGTGGCATGTCAAAGGGGATTGAGGGCACTGTGTCTCCTACAGTGATAGCTTTTAAAAATTTAACACTCACTGTGTATTTTGGCCACCCCTTGTGTATTATTGTCAATCTAGAAACAACCTAAGCAGGGGCTTTCTGGGAGGCAAAGGCTGGTAGGCAGCAAGACAGTTTGAAGGTGAATGTTACAGGCCTTTCTGTCCACCAGTGGAAGGCGCCTTTGCTGATACTTCTCCCTCCAGTCAGGGGACCGGAGTTCTCCAATTGCCAAACACTTTCTTAGAGGCCTACGGATTGGTAGTGTGTTTTTCCTACATGGGGACATCAGCTTTGGAGATGCAGGGCAGTCATGAGCTGAAAGGGAGCTTCTGGGAACTGCAGTCCCCTTGTGCGCCCTTGGGCAGTGGCGGAAGCTGCTGGGATCTTTGCCTCAATTAGAAATTTCTCTGGATTTTTGTGGGTGATTACCTAAGTGTGCATTCCATGCACATGTGCGTGTGTATGTGTGTGGCATTCTTTCTCTGACAATGCATAGTCCACTGAGAAATGCTGCAGTCAGGTAAGGCACTCACCACACCTGACAGATGAGGTTGTGAAGCACTGGACCAGGTGATGTCCCAAGGAGTCAAAGCCATAATGCTAACTAATACTCAGAGAGCCGCTGGTACGCGTCAGACTGTGTCACGTAATATGCGGACTCACAATCTTCTCAACCCTGGGGGGGTGGACATTATCGGTGTCTCTGTTTCACAAACAGTGGCACCAAGAGGTGAAGGAACTTGTAAAAGTTTACCGCGTTAGTCAGTAAGTGGGAGAACTGAGATTATGGTGTAAAATTCCAAATGAGAGACAGTATTTTTGATATATCAAAATAGAATAATCATTCTCTCATCTCTCTTGCATGGATTCAATCTTGGTTCATGAATAAAATAAAAGGATTGGTATGAATCCTAAAGGACGCTGGCAGTGCCATTCTTCTAGTGCAGAATCAGGCAGAAGATGATGCTGGAACATAAACTGCTGTATGGCAGGCACAAGAGGTGAGCCAGGAGGGGGCCCCATGAGCGCGTGGGTCCCTCTCTCCACTCTGGATGAACTTCCCTCATCACGGGCCTTCCTCCAGGCCACTTCACAGAGGCCAGCAGCTGACAGAGAGATGCAGGAAAGGAGGACCAAGGTCATGTGAAGTGGCGGGCAGCGAACTAACAGGGACCACCGTGGAGAATATGATCATAAGGGTGACCATCTGTTGACCATTCATTGCTTCAGTTAATATTCTAGGCAATTCACCTACCTCAACTCCTTTAATTTTCACCACTTTATGAGGTATTAAAGTCCCCATATTTCACATGAGGGAAATTGAGGCTCAGAACAATTAATTGCATGTGATCACTCAGGCAGTAAAGGCTAAGGGATTTAATGCCCATATGCTTTTATGAGTGGTAAGCAGCATTATTCAAGTATCATCTCTCTGTGTGAACAAATGATACTTGGAAACAAATTCTGTGCATTTTCTTGCTGGTGCAGGAAAGGAAAGACCTACCTGTCTTTCTACTTTGACAAACTTTCCCATCATGCTTTGGTCTTCCATTTCTGCCGTGGATGTTCTGGCTACATATGGTTCATTCCTAAGAAAAAGCCAACAATTCTATGAGATCATTGTATCTATTTTTGCTTTCCAAGGTCATTCAGTGGGGGCTAGATCATGGCCCACAGATCTGTCAAGCTCGTTCTCATGCTGATACATCCTGGAAATGGCCCACTCCATGCTGGCCACAGGCAGTCAGGGATAGCCAACCTCTTCTGGGCTTCAGCACTGTAGATGTTATGCTTACCTCCCCTGTTGAAAAACTTGGGCCAACTTGGGAGCTACAATTAAAGAGGGTATTTTTAAAATACTTTTGTAAGACAGGGTCTCACTAAGTTGCCCAAACTGAGCTTGGATGTATGATTCTCCTGCCTCGGCATACCCTAAAAGTTGGGATTATAGGCAAGCACCACTGTGCCCGCATAAGGAGACTTTGATTTGTATTAAAGTTAACAAAGCACCTGACAGTGCCAAGAGTGTTTAATTCCTGTAAATCTAATTATTTTGGTTTTTGATTCCTGACTGAAAGAGAACTTCAGTACTGAGTGTGTTTTTGAGAATGGGCAAGATGTGATCTCCGAAATTCTACACAGTATACATATTTCAACTGGCTCATTTTGTTAAGAATGGGAAAGACCCATTTGCCCATCCATTGGAAACTGGATAAAGAAGATGTGGTTTTTCTATAAAATGGAATATTACTCAGCCATAAAGAACAAGAAAATAGATTCATTCATAGGAAAATGGATACATATTGAAGATATACTCCTAAGTGAAATAAATAAGGCACACATGTGTAAATACCGAATAGTCTCTCTGGTGTGAATAATCTGCAATAATACAGAAGATCCTAATAAGATTACTGACATTTAGAAATGGGAAGAAAGGAGCTAAAGGTGTAGGGAAGGTGGGATGGGTAGGGGAAGGGTAATAAGGGAAAAGAAAAAAATGTGAGATAATGAAAAGATGGAAATAAAGTGTTTGTAGATGGGGAGGGGAGGAGGGGGTGAAGGGAGGGCAGGGACAAGGGGAAAAAATGAGAACCAAGACATGTCATGTAGAGGTACAAATTCCCAACAATGAATGTAACTGTACTGTATCCCTAACATGTACCAATAAAGTCAATTAAAGCTGAAAAAAAAAAGAATGGGAAAGAAATGTTGAATCTGCAAATGATGTAAATAATGGTGCTGGTGGAAATGGGGCTCCAATGAGTGTGGCATCTTCTCTTGGGCATAGTTAATATTGGCCTAAATTCGAGTTAGTTTGGATATTTTTATATTTTATGCATTTGAGACATTTCAGGGAGCCTCATCGTTACTCAAAACCAGTCATCATGAGCACTTTCTTGGTAGTTGCATGTTCTGTCTCTTAAACCACTGTTCCAGCTCTGTATCCCTTCTGTGTTTGGCTGCACAGTTTTGAATGAAAGCAAATGTCAAAAACTAGTGATCCATGTGCACACACTTGGACTGTCTGGACACAGGATGCTCTTTGTTAAGACCAGCAAGAATAGAATGGAGAAACAGTTGCATCCTTTAGCTGGGGCATGTGCCTTCCAGGTCCCCATGGTCTCTCAATCCCTGTCCCATTCCTAGCTGGGGCTGAACAGCAGAGACCTTTTGCTATTATGCATGTGCTCTTGCTTCTTTTATAAGAGGGAGGTATACAATGTTCCTTAGGCTGGACTCTCACTCATTTATCTTGCTTGCTTCAAAGATATTTGGGAATAAGGAGGTACAATTGTAAGCAGTAGACTTTCCAGAGAGTGCCTCCTTGTTCAAAATTTTGAGGCATTTTTGGGAGGCAAAGAGTTCTCTAGATTTCAACAATGTCAGGCATCTGGAATCTGCTTACTTTCTCTGACTCTGTCCTGGGAGCCATATCAGCCAAAAACAAACAAACAAACAAAAAAAAGCAACAACAACAAAAAAACAGCTGACCAAGAATGCCATGAAGTCCGCTAACATAATGTATTTACTGTTCCTATCCCAACAAAACTCAGGAGTTTGCTCTTGCTTTACAGTGAGAAAAATGGTGTAGTTTTTTAATTTTCAAAAACCACCCTGGTCTAGGAAGAGCATGGGAAGACCTTTGTACAGAAACCTTTCAAGGGCCTCAAAGTGAAGCGGGCTTAAAATGCTCTCTTCATTGTATTTAGTGGAGTGAAAATTTCATTTACATAAAACATTTGGGGGTGGGGACATAGGCTTTGCGAGTCATGAGGTTGGGCAGTCCCTGCTCACAGGCCCCACCTGGGAGACTGCTGGGATGGGTAGGTGAATGCTGCCCCTTTCTGAGACTTCTTATGTTTTGGAGTAGATGGAGGTCCAGGGGTGAAAATCATATCTATTCTGAAAGAAACAAACAAAAGGAGTGTTAAATTGCATAAAATCTTGCCTAGCAGGAAAACAAACCATTGTATTCCCTCTTAATTCAAGTGCAGGATTAGAATACATAAAAGAAAGGAAGACAGATTATGTGTGTGTACATACATATATATATATGGGGGGGATCGAGAACTACAACTTAATATATATAGGGTTATCCTTTTTGTCTTGTGGTATTGAGGTTATTTTCCCATCCCCAAGGAGAGGAAGGTAGATAAACTGCCGGGATGGCATGAGGACTACACCTTGTCATTTTTTACAGGAAATGTAATAGGTGTGCTGCAAGCCTATCTCATCTTCCATTTCTCTTATCCCTGCCCAAATCCTGTAATTAGTGAGTTCTAGTGCCAAATTCTCTGCTCTGTTTTCAGCTGTGCAGGTCCCTGCTGCTTCACAGGCATCCCTGGCCATGAGAAGGGATGGTCCTACTCTAGCCTCCATATTCTGCTTCCATTTCTGTGCAAACTTCAGCTTCCCCTGTGTGCTGGGGTCAACAGAGGGTAATGTCTCCCATTGAGCGAAAGGGCTGCAGTGAGGGTGGGAGTCAGGGGCCAGTGAGACTGTGCCCCAGAAAGTCATGGGCCACTGTCTGCCCTCAGCCAACCCAGCCTGGTGTGTCTGCGGATGTGGAATCCATCATGCTGAATTGGTCTTCTCCTCTGACTAATCGCATATCCCCAGCTTCGCGGGATATTGCAGTGGGATATGCGATCAGTCATCCAGGCAGCCAACATCTGCCCACAACTCTCAGAAACACATTTTCCTGATAAATATCAAATCCTATGACAGTGTAACAATCCCTCCTATGCTCATTAAGTTGGCTGATATTTTTGGAGTCTGGGGTGTCTCAGACCTCCTGCCCCCTTCCTCTATCTCCCAGGGATCCTTACTTGCAGAAATATCAGTGTGCTGTGCTGAACCTGCATTCACACATCCATTTGTTTATTGGCAGTGAGCACCAACTCTGCACCTGCCATGGCGAGAGGCAAAGTTGGTTTCCCATCTAGGTTACTAGTAAGCATATCTCTACCCTGGTAGCATCACTAACTTCCAACTCCTTTGGCGTGATGCTCCTGTGAACCCATAGGACCCTCCGGTAGGGAAACTTGATTTAGTCAAGGAGGCTGAAACCCAGGAAGGACTCAGGTCAAATTTAACTGTGTCAACTTTTTCTAGGTCTAGGTCCCTATATAGGTCAATGTACACATGTCATGTATATTTCTGAGTAAACATGTGGGTATACTTTTGTGATTACAGTATATATATTATAGGGATGTATGTTATATAGCATAATAGTAACATCACAAAATTAAGTAAAGACTAATCAGTGGATTGCATAATATTACAGATAATTCACTCTCCGTGTGTGTGTGTGTGTGTGTGTGTGTGTGTGTGTGTGTGTGTGTGTATGTGTGTGTGTGTGTGTGTGTGTGTGTGTGTATGGGACTAGTCTTTTGCCTTTTTTAGCTTCAGTTTCCTCATCAGTAATATGGCAACTGTCATAAATGAAGCACACCATAAGGAGAGCTCGAAGGGACAAAACATGTATATTCAAAGACTCCAAGTGACAATTAATAATTGGACACGATGCTATCTCATATTTTCACTGTTATATGTGACACTTGAGTATTTTGTAATCGAGAGGGGGTCACATTTAGAACCAGCCAGCTGGCCTGTTTAGTTGATCCCAGATGTGATGGGTATATCCAAAGCATCACTGTTGAGATCCAGTGGAACATACACTTTCTCCAAGCTGTCAGGTGCGATCAGGACAAGGCCTTTGGCCTCAGTGATGTCATAGTGTCATCACATCCTGTGTGATCCGGTGCTTCTTGGCCATGACATCCAGAGCACTCGATGAGCACTTTTGTTCATAAAGCTTCTCCCCTGTGCTTTGGATTGCTCTGACCACCTCTTACTTACACTCTGAGGCTCACACAGCTTTGATTCCTGCGTGGCCGGGAGAGCACCATCCCACCAGATGTGACTGCCTCACCTTGTTTGCAGGTACTTTATCCTGGAGAGCATGTCGAGATGGCCTGCAGAATACTGCTCTATCACATCTTTCACATCATAAGGCCTCAAAGTTTCCTTGAATTTTTTTTTATAGAGACGGAACTGTAGAATTCTGTAAGGCAAAGCAGAGGCGTTTGTGCATCGTAAGTAGAGAGTAGAGCAGTTGTAACACAAGGCTAAGAAACTCACGGGCAGTGGAGAAAGCAGAGGGAAAAAACTGGATGAGGAGAACTTCTGGCTTTGAGTGGCTGTCTGACCCATCTGAACCAGACACAGTCACCTGCCTAGCACCTCTCCTCCAGGACTTTCTGCCCCTTCAATCATTTGGATAATGACAAAATCATAGTAGGTTTCTGTTCCGAGTACTAATGCAAGTTGGCATTTATTGAGCATTCCTTTCACCCCAGACAGTGAGCATGGCATCTTTTGTGCTATAGGCTAATATATCAATTTACAGAGGGTGGACTCTGGCTCAGAGAATTTTGGCCTCTAGTTGAGCCCCGGTAGCTTCCAGTGTCAGACCCTGTGCTGATGAGGCTCACGCTCTTAGCCACCATTGTGCTGCTTTCTATTTGAGGACAGCTGGAGTCTCCTCCTTGACAGCATCTGTAGGGCTTAGCTTTGGACTCCTATGAAAGTTAGCGTCTACTCTCCAAGTTTTCTTGGTTCCTTGTGAAATGGGGAGCCCAGAACCAACAGATGAAACGAAACACTCACCTCCACCTTTCAGGAACTAAAGTAAGGTCACCCCGATAGCTAATATTCCACGAGTTCTCCATGTGGAGGGCAACTCCTGCTGAGTATCAGATCAGCTAAAACTAAGGATCATGTCAAGAGGCCCCAGCCCACCCCAGGCCCTCCTACCTCATACTTGAATGTTTCTTTCAAAATTCATTTTCCTTGACCGATTTCCTTGACCGAATCCACGGCTCCAGTTTCTAAACACTACTTTAAGGTACTGATCACAGCACTGGATTTAATTCCTACTCTTCCTGAATTTATGCCGTTTTACAAGCCTGCTCTTTGGCTTCTTTCACCTAAGGTAGGAGTCACAATTTATGGCTCATCGCCAAACCCTCCCCTTGCCTGTTTTTGAAATGAAAGATCTACTGGAACTCAGCCACGCCCACTCATTTATGCCTTCTCTGTGGCCGCTTTGCATTGCAATCGTGACCTGAGTACTTGCAACAGAGACCCACAGACCACAAAGCCTAAAATATTTGCTAGCTGACATTTTAAAGGAAAAGTTTGTCAATCCCTGAATTGAGGCAGCAACGAAATGGCTAAGAAGGAGGAGAAGACAGAGACCAGAGTATGGAGCATCTCAGTAGTGCCTCCTCCTCAGCCAACACAGATTCGCTAGCTGTTTCTCTCAGGTCGAGACCCTCCAGCCAGGCATGGATCCAGGTAGGTGTGTTTTCTGTCACAGCACATGGGGTGGTGCCACAAAGAAACAGGTCAAAGGTTGTGCTTAGGTCCACATCTGACAGCTGGGAATTTTGCTGTAGATAGCATGACTGGGGTTTGGAGAATCAACTCGGGTTCTAGAATTCCCTGCCAGCCTATGAAGTAAGTGCATGCCCATATCCCGACCAAGATTAAGTAGTAACATACTTTTTGATTCTCTTGAAGAATTCTAAAGCAAAGCACAAATAACCAGGGTGGCTTATGGTTTCCTCCAATAGAGATGAAAAACTCTGATGATTTATGTCTTGCCAAAATGCTAATATAAAGGAACTATATTGATGGAGATGGGCAGAAGATAAGCTATTTTGAGTAACATGCCCTTAAAGGAAGAAAACTCCATGTCAATACATCCTCTGTTCTGACATCCTTTAATGTAAATGGTGGTAAAAGCCAGAAAAGGGTGGACAGTGGAACACAGGCAGGGAGGCTGTGGCAGCATTTGTATAACGGTAAGCAAGAGTCACCAGGTTGGAACGGCTTACTGAGGTAGGAAGCTGCATCCCTCATAGAGTCCTTAGTAACCATAAAGCCTGCCTCCAGGCAATGGGAGCAGCTTCCTGATCCCACAGAGCACCTTATAAGCCTTGTCCTTTGAGAGTTGAGCCAGGGCCTGGAAGGCTCACAGGTTGGGGAGGAGAGTCCTTACCTGACGGCTCTGATGGCAGCCTTCAGGGTGGGGATCATGTCTTCTATGAGGAAGTCATTCCCATAGCCCCTGTCTTCCCCCATGGGATCACCAGTTCCGGCATCTGGGAGGATGACACGTGAATCAGTGGTGGCCCTGGCACAGTGAAAGCCTTGGGTTCCACTGCTGAGCTATAGTTTCTAAGCCCCAGGGTCTCTGTTACCACTTTTTGGAGCCACACCACAGCCTCCAGCTGTGATATCACACAGCCTTCCTTGGCATTTCCAATCCACTGTGCTGAAGTCAGCCAGAGGTGTGACAGCTGTTGTAAGGGCCAGGAAGGGGTGGGGTGAGGGGAGTGCTACACATCCTGAGTAGCCTCTGAACAGCCACAGGCACTTATGGGAGCCTGAGTGTCAGACCGGTCTGAGTGGGGGCTCTTATTCTGTCCGCCTCTATCCTGGGGACCTTGGGAAGTCACATTCTGAGCCTTCCACCCCCAAGAGACCTTGGAGAGGAATGAGTGATATGGTGGGTGGCCTCAGACACCCAAGAGACTGCTTTCCTGCTTGCCTTCCCTTTTCACAGTGACAGTGGCACATGCAGCCATTATTTTACAGTTCCTCAGCCTCATGGCACTTTCCTGACACTTCTTACACCCTGGGGGCACTAATGCGCCCATCTCCCGGCTTGCTCTTAGCTCCTCTCTGTCCTTCAATTTGACTCCCAGGACCATTCTAGAAACAGTGGCGATGTGTCCCAAGGCTCCCTGCAGAGGCTTGTGTGAAGAATGGAGGAGATCTTGGCCCAGGAAAACAGCTAACCTAGGAGCCTATGAGTCATGGATATATCACTGGTGCCTCCAGCCAGGGGACATAAACAAGGTAAAGAGAGAAGAAGGTCCAGGGAGGGGAGGGAGAGGCTGTGTTGTGGACTCTCCAGAGTTCTTCAAAGGAGAGATCAGGAGAGGGAGGAAGATGGAGAGCTCAGGAAAGAGCCAAGCAGAGGAGACAGAGCAAGGGAGAAGGATCTGGACTTTACCTTCAGAGCTCTGCCAGAAAGCGTAGGCTTTCATGCGGAAGGCGGTGCGGAAACGCTCTTTATTGTTTAAGCCAACAGGCTTTGGTTCTTTAGAAGGACTTTCTTCTATGGCATCTACATTCAGAGGGGTAAATAGCTTTCCTTTAGTATTGCTACCACGAGGATTAGAAAGGCGAACCCGATCCAAGAGACCCAGCTTTTGGCTACAAAATAAGCAAAAGTGAACAATTTTCCTCCTTCAGTGCAGGCTCTTGTAATTTCCCATCCCTCCATAAAGACTCACACATTGTTCTCCAAGGGTGCGAAGTGCACACCCACAGTGCTATGTCTGATTTAGCAGGTTGAAAGTGGACAGAAAGTGGCTCAAATCCTAGCTCAACAACTTACTAGCAATTCAATTTTAGGCAAGTTTCTGAATTTCTATTTCTCTGTGTGCCTCAGTGGAGCTTAAATGACAAACAGCACACACAGCAATCTCCCCCCATGCACAAGGTGTCAGTTACCTGCTGTCAACCACAGTCTCAAAATAGCACACAGTGCAATGAGGAACTGAGATATTTTGTGGAGAGAGCAACCACATATTCGCATAATTCTTTATTACAGTAGAGTTATAATTCTTTAGTATTAATCATTGTTGTTAATCTCTTACTGGGCCTAATTTATAAACTAAGCTTTGTCATAGGTATTTTCACATGGGAAAAAGTGTAGTATACATAGAGTTCTGTGCTGTCTGCTGTCTCAGGCATCCCTGGGGGTCTTGGAATGCAGCCCCTATGGGTATGAAGGGGTTACTGGAAAGTGCCTCGCTCACAGCATGTGCTGCAAAGATTTGATCCTTTTTCATGTCCTTCTACTTAGCATCGGTAACTTCCTGTCTTTCCTTTTCATCATTTCATGGTGCCCACACAGTGAGTCAGAGTAAATCCTCGTAAAATGCCCTCAAACAGAACTGAATGACAAATGATATGAATAGTCACCTTTACCCTGCTGTCCACAAACAGATCCCAGTGAGTAGAATCTAGGGGGGGTCCATGAGCTTGGGTCAGAAAAATTACATCTTTAAATTAAAATTTAATTAAGTTTAAGTCCAATTAAAATTTAGCATCCCTTAATAGCATAAATAGGCAACAAACTCCACCAGTTTCCCTAATGTCTGTTTGGCTTGTGTCTAGATGTCACCTCAAAGCCTCACGTGGTCATAGGTGAGCTTTTCATTGATGGTTGGATCTAGGGTGTGTGATGCTGGGATCAAGGATATGATGCTGGGATTGCTTCATGGTATGATGCTAGGATTAAGACTGCCCCACCTGTGAGTGCTACCTGCCCTAAGGGTAGGTAGTCTGCATAAGATATAAAGGACAGCAACAAGGTCATTCCTCATTGCTTATAGCTTGCTGCTTGACACCTTGCTGCCTTCTGCCTGCCATGAATTGTTTCTCCTCTACAATGCCCCTCTGCCACACTACTCTGACTGGGAGCCAACCCACAATGAACTGAAACCTCTACAAACTGTGAGCCAAACAAACCTTTCTTCCTTTAACTTTGGGTATCTGGTATTTTTGTCTCAGCAATGAGAAAACTTACCAAAACAATGTCTATGCCTGTCCACAGTGAAATCACAGATAATTCCATACTCTGTAATGTTAGGGTATTATTTATGCTCATCACTGCTTCCAGTTTATGAGAGCTTTCAACCTGCCAGGTAGGTTTTGCCATTAAGTTTATCACTAAGAAGCACACAGTCAACATCTCAAGTTTTTAAGTATATTGATAATTCTTTTTTAATACAATCGGTTTTTATAAGTGTATATTACATTTTACTTTGTATTCCATGTTATTATTTTGAGAAGTACATGATCTTTGCCATATTGCAAACAGGGTCTTGGTACACACACAAAAAGTTAATAATAACTCTAGTGTAAGTTGCCCTCATACAAAACATCAGTTACCCTGAACTGGAAACAATGTCCTCCCCTCTCATCTGGCTGATCTTGGGCAAATCTTTTACCTTTCGGAGACCCAGTGGCCTCATTTTTAATATAGGAATATGTGTTATCTGCTTCATCTGTTTGTTATGAGGTGACATTGCCAAAATTTTTGCATACAGGCAGAGACATAGTAAGTGTCCCATAAATACTAATTTATTTTCTCTATTTCTGACCTGGGCACAGGAGTGGTACTTTCCAGAGAGAGCCACATTGCATTTTTGTGCACATCAGTGATTGTGGTTCCATTCCATGGCTTACTCTTCATCCCCCCACTAAGCACAAAGTGGGCACTCAGGACTGGTCAGCAGAAGGAGAAGGTGGATGGATATAGGTGGTCTAATCAATTCTGCATGGGTCTGGAATAATTATGCATTTTCTTAAGAGTGTGTCTGCTTATGGTAGCTACATGTTTCAAACAGTACAGAGGTCATGTTGGATCTGCAGAGGTGAGGAGAGAATGCACTTCTGGCCAAGCTGCTGCTCTGTGCACTTGAGGTAGCAGGTGCTCATCTGTCAAGGGGCCCTAACAACACCGGCTTCCTGGTAGTCTGGGGAATGTTACAAATCATATCTATAGTGCTTTTGCCCACAAAAGAGAAAACACTAGGAAATATTGGATAAGTGAATGAATAAATACATGAATGAGCAGTGAGCAATTGTTATTCCTAACTCCCTATGGACCTGTTTTCTTTCACCTAGTACTGTTTGCAGCTATTTGATTGAAGAACTCCACTAATAACCAGCCCAGGCTAAATTTAGAGACTCTAGTACCCACCCAGCTCCATCTTTTCTGAGCTGAAATAAAAAATTTTGGAGCTGCTTTCCCAATTGGCATTAGGTGCATGACAAGAGTGACATAGAAAATATCAGGGACTATATACTAAAAGGTATGTTGAGGCAGGAAGTTAACTGAAGGCATCCAGAGGCAATCCTGTCCAAGAGGCGAGTAAGCTAATGTGGCTTTGGGACAAGCAGTTCTCAGGCCCTTTTCCCTCCTGGCCCTTGCCCACCCATCTTGCTGCACCTTAGTTTGAAGTGGCTTCTTCTTTTCATCTATGCCAAATCCTGTGCCCACCTCCAAGGACCCCTTGCATGCTGTCTTCCTGCATGCGATGCCCTTGTTTGCCTACTCAGCCAACCTCATTATTGACCTTTAAACCTATAGCTCAGTGCTCCCTCTTGGAGATTAGGTACCCAACTTGTGCTCCAAATATAGTTGTGTTTTTCTCTGTCACTTAACACACTTAAATGCAGTGTCCTGGCCCCAGTACAACATCCTGTTTGGCATAAATAGAAGCTTAGCATAGAAACTCATTTCATGGGCTTAGGGGCAAAACTAGCCTGGGTGGAGACATATTAATAAAGCATATGACCTAGAAGACACGTGCTCTCTGGCCCCCAGATTTCTTGCTGCAAAATGATGACCTCAAGCACAGGGTGCACATAGATGATTAAGGGTTAAATGAGGCAATTAGTATAAAGTGTTAGGCCTATTTCTGAGATGTGGTCAATAAGTGCTGGCTGCCATCACTATCTTGGTAAATAATCTTCTTCCCACAGAAGCAGAAAGTTGATGACATGTGTGAAAAGGATGGATACAATTTCATCAGCCACAGAGAAAGATTTTTGAGTGCTTTTTTTTTAACATGAGCTGAAATGAGTTTTGGGGATTTAGATATTACAGTATTTGACAGTACTTCTTAGTGCCAGTTTCAAAACACTGAACACTGTCATTCTGCTCCACCTCATTAGAAGACCGTCATATGAGAAGCTCATTTCTAAATAAACTAAGCAAGACAAAATTAATGGCAGCTGTGGTGTCTTGATTTGAAATTTCATCATGATTGTTGAACATCAGAATGATAATAAGAGAACTCTCTTGGTTCTATTTGTGCTGGGATTTTAGCATTCATTTCCTTGGCATTTAAATACGTCTGATTTACTTTGGCTATGTTTACTTAATACCCCATTGGTCATGGATGACACTTGAGACTGTGTTAAGAATCCAGACGCATCAGGTACACTCAGAAGCCTCAGCTCTGAATTACTCACAGCCCTTGCACCTAAGAAGCTTATAGAATTCTTCCTCCAGCAAAGTGGATGATCAGCTTACTTGTTAATTATATTCCCTGAAATTCAAGACCCACAAAAGATAATCAAATGCAAGGCAAAGTTCAACTGTGAAATTCAAAGCCCATCTCTCCCCTCTTCACATGGGTTTCAGCGCACAATTCAGGACTTGTTCTCAGAGGGCACTGCAGATCCTGCAAGAAAAGCACTTCTTGGAGCTGTCATCAGTTTCCCTCAGAAAGCCAGAGCATCTCATTCATTAAGCACAAACAAATTCAATGAATTAGAAAAACTGTACATAGATGGACTGGGGGGCTGAAAGTAAAATGAAGGTTGTTCTGCCTGGGCAGATAGAGCCCTTGTCCTGAGCTCCTGCCTCAGCTCTCAGTAGCCATGGAACCCACAAAGTTTCTGGCCATTCAGGACTTTGCTTGAGCTGTGACCTCCACCTGGGAGAACGCGTGTATCTTCTTTCATCTACAGGACTCGTTATTTTTGTCTAAAACTTGGCTCAAGCATTGGCCAAAGGTCACACCTCATTGCATCCAGATGTTGAGTGTGAAGACTAAGGCTCATCTGACACCCACATGGCTTGGCTGTGACACACTTCAAACTTCACTCACCTGTGACACTGGGCCACCATAATTAAATCTTTGACTCACTAAGGACCTTGCCATTAAATCAGCAGGGTGCTTTTGATCCCTCAGAGGATGCTTGGCAACCTCTAGAGACAAATTTGTTTGAAGCAACTTGGGGAGCACTACTGGTATCTACTGGATAGAGGCCAGATGTGCCACGAGACAATCTTGTAACACACAGGACAGACCCACCACAAAGAAATAGCCATCCTATCAACAGAGCTGCGGCTGAGCAACCAAAACACAAGCTTTGGGGCCAGAAACTATCTTGTCTAATTTGTGTGTCTAGTGTCAAGATATCACCATGCCTGGCATGTCACCAGTCTGAAATCCATTATTATGATGTTGAATGGAAGAAGGAAAGAATGAAATGTTTGATGTTTGATGAATAAAGAACACCAAACCTCAGCTGAGCACAGGAAAGCTGTATACTGGAAAGAGTGTGGACTTTGGAGGAACAGAAATGGGATCAAATCTGTACTCTGTAGTTAATATTTAAACTTGGGT